CTACTGCTACACTAGTTGTCTTCATCTGCACTTGTTTGTGTGTATGGGTTTGAAGGGTCATCTGCGAAGTCCAAATCCTTCAGTTGCATCCAACCTGCCCATTTTATTCCGTGCTTGTCGTCAGATTCAGGGATCTTCATAATCCAGTCAACCACCAGAAGATCGAAGGATAGAGTAGACAGGCTTGTCTGACTCCGGTCAATACGTGGAATGTGTCTGCCGAGTGTTATCCATGTACGACTTCACATTGTAATCCAACCGAAGAATTATGGATAATGTTGACGATTTTCTAATGTTCTTTATAGTGTCGAAGAAGGGTACATAGGGGCATCCTATCCAAACGCTTTCTCATAGTCCAGGAAGTTCCTATATGGCGACGAATGTCATGCAATTGATTGCTTGACAGTAATCCACAGCCACGTGATTTAGTCCGTGCATGAACGATCCTCACGGAATCCAGCATGTTGATCACGATATTGGACGTCTACCGGACCTTTCACCCGGTTCAGCAACACTAATGAAAACTTTTCCTGGTACTGACAGTAGTGTGACACCTCTGTAATTCTCCCATATGCTCAGATCTCCTTTCTTTGGTATCTTAGTGAGGCATACTTCTTCGCAGTCTATCGGCACTTGTACTTCATCGCGAATCCTTCGAAATAGAGGGTGAAACATACTAAGAGTTACTTGTATGTCTGACTTGAGTTATGATTGAATGACTTGCTTTCAGCCTGTTTTCGGAGGTTTCAGTGTTCGGTTTGGTTAGGTTTTGAAATTCTGCAAGTACATCCTGGAACGTTGCAGCTGTTACTGGCGGAGTTTGTATAGAAAATAGGGAATTGAAATGACTTTATATGCCTTTTGATTAATTCGAAATTTTTTGGCATCATACGTTGTTTATTAGTGTCAACCAGAAATTTATGCTTCTCTAAAATGTTCATTCCCAGTATTACCGGCTAAGGTGAACGATCAGGGTTCAGGTTGTGACGTAAGGAGGCTCAAAATAAGGTTGCGGACGCCTTTGGGAGCTGAATGAAGTGAAACAAAGAACACATCGTGGTGTCGAATTCCCTCAGATTGAACGTTTAGCCTCACGGATGATGCATTTGTTGAGTAAACCACAACTCAGAGTCAAATTCTCGAAATTGAGCTTTCGTAGTCAAAAAGAGGTATATTCCTTCCGGCGACAATTTATGTTTATTTTCAACTCTTTACTCTACGAAATCTGAGGTGTGATATACATGCCGCAAATATATTAAGATGATATAGATGTATATAAGTCCAAAATAAATACCATGTCATTTTATATATATAAGTAAATATGCATCTGAAATTTATATTAAAATTCATGTTACCGATCTACCAGGAGGTTAACTTCCATGACAAAACCAGAAAATGTAAAGCCGAAACTGTTTTGTGTGGTCAAAAATGGACTCATCAATTTAGTTCTGGTGCTTATCATGAATATACCTTGTCAAATGAGGCTGGTAAATATATCTCGTGTCAAAAACGGGTTTGTGAGTAACCTTTTTATGAAACAACATATTTGGCAAGTCCCAGAGGAAATGGAATTAGATTGAACGCACAGTATTGCAAATAATTTTTGGGTGCTCATGATGCTGTTGACTCTATTAATTTAATGATTCGGTGAAAGTACAAGAGTCCAGACAAATACATGGTTCTCACTGTATGAACGATCCGAAATAATATTAAGCGTGCTGAAACATTATAACTTAAACACACAGTTGTTTGTGAAATATCATCTTTAATGTTTGGCAGTGGAACTCGTAAATTCGAAATTGGGCAGGCTTTGGTCTGAAGAAAATAAACTAGAGGGTAGTCTGTAGTTTAAGATAGGGTAAAATGTTAAGTGAAGAAGCAAAACAAAGAATTAGATCAGGATAACCATTCAATCCTTGCTTACGTTAGCTACTAGATCAAATATATTTATATCATTCAAAAGGCATATTTGCCAGTATTGATGTTTTCACAAGCAAATTTCACTGGAGCATGCAGATACTACCAAAGCTTGTCAATGAACCATCATAGCTAATCATAAACACAGATGATCAGCTATTAGTATTGATCAAGCTAGTAGGCTGTAATTATTAATCAATACTAAAACACAGTGGAATATGTTCAGTTTCAAAGCCCGTTGGGTCGAGCACCAATACCGCTTCAACAACTTGTTTTGAACGCCTAAAAAGGTCGGATTAGTGGTAGGTTTTTATTGAGATCATGGAGCGTGAGGTCATGAATTTCAAACGCCACAATTCAAACATTCAGTGTTAGATAACAGGAAACATAATGCATACAAAAATAAGGAGGTATATAAACGACCTAACTGTTATGCTTTAATGTTAACAAGATGTTTTCAGTCAGCACACAACCACCAATCTAAATCTGTTACAGTCCAACCTCGACTTTGTGGTGTGATTTTTCAAAGATTAGGACAACATTATTGACTACCTGATTTATATGTACTAACACGAGTCTCCAGGCTCTTACATCAGGTCTGTTCCTCAACTTCAAAAAGAGTTTAACATGGTCTCACACTAAGATCTTCTAGTCAAGTTGAAGTTATTCAGAGTCACCATTACTTTGCATCCACGATTTTCATCCTTCCTAAAATAACATAAGCAAATGGTAAGGTACAACTTTGTCTCAGCACCATGATCAACAGCTAATGGAATTGTCAAGAGAAGTGCAAGGTGTCCACCCCCTTAATCATGCATATAAAAGACATAGGTAAAACTGTGAAATAAGTAGATTATAAATGTAAGGCGATGGTTAGGGGTAGTCGACAAAAAGACTTAGACTTGAGCTTCATGCTACCAGACACTCGTCATTAAGGTGTACTTGTAGTAGTAAGGGGACCGATGCTGTATTTCAATATCACCCGGTTTTACAGTCTGAGACTTTACCACTGAGCTATCTGGATCGCGACTAACCTCCGATAGGAATGATATATATATATACAAATAATTGATCGCTGGGTATTGATTGATGTCATGTGGTTGAAGTCTTTCTTTATCCAGCAGCTTAATAGATAGAATTAAGTAGTTCTACAACCACCCACTACGCTTTAATATATTACACACGATGCTGAGTCATCTAGACCTGTTGTCACACTACAAATTGATCAGTAAAATTCATTACGCACCAAGAAAGACTTACCAGATATGACAGTGGTCACCATGTAATGACCATTCAATTGTAAAAGATCATACATGTATACCGATAAACTCATCATGGCACATAACCTGGGTTCGGAGCCGTAGGTTAGAGAATTTATCTGTTTCAGCGCGACAACCTGTCTGTCTGTAGTAAAAATTGGCAAGTACCACTTAATCCCAACAAGTACGAGACCACGCATTTTAGGAAGTATCGCTATAACTAATCACTGTACTTAAATTAGTGTAAAGTCCAGACATTTAACTTGACATCCGGTCTAGTTGTTGTTTGTACATAAATTGTAAAAGAACATACTTCGTGTATCATTTTTACACCAGGAATGCTGATGGGTTTCATAGTAAAAATTTCTCCATCAGAGAAGCTAAGCTTACACTTTTTAATATGTACATTACCCTACCTTCAATATCGTTTATGCATTTTGTCAAATATGAATACCACAGATGAGACACTAGCGAAGAATATCAAGAAAAGCTTCACATAACGACCATTGGGATAGGATTCTATACTTGACTAAATAAGTTGATGTAAACATATCCCATTAGAAAGTTTATGGCGTTGTTGACAAATGAAGGACCTGTTTTTCTACAAAATATCAAGTTGTATTTCATTTTCAAGCTGCGATCCACGACTTTGCCCATAGAATAGGAAACAACACGTCTAAACAACCAACTATAGGCAGTAAAATCGAGATGTCGTCAGTTATTTACTATATAGTACAGTTTACTTTGAGACAAACTGACAAGCTCCTCAGTACCGATGATACTACAACAGATCTGAACGATCAACAACCGTTTCCTGAGACCTTAATGGGATTTGTCAAGTATTCCCAGAACGCCTAACGAGCTCTTGGTGGAATTTGTTACAGACCACCTGAAATCTAGATATACGTGTTGAAAGCTATTGATCGCCCAAAGATATATTTCACTTCCACTGCCTTACATAATTACGATCACCTAATCGACCGTATACTAAAAACGGATAAATCCAGATGTGTTTACAGATTCCGGCACTGTGCGGCCGTCTGTCTCTAAAATTTTCCTAACTCTAACTTTATTCAGGAGAGCCAACGAAATCATTACTTCGGAAAGGAGACGACTGGGAGAGAAAACGACGCAACAAGCACCTCATGATTTAATAACGTTCCCAAAAATATTACTATAAAAAGTAATAAAATAAGACGACCTATTTTCTACAACAACCAAAATAGAATATTTTGAATTCGCACGGTAGTTTTATCGTAAAATGCTTCCAGATCACCAGTGGTGGTCTAAAATTTTTCAGGTAATAATTTCACTTGGAATCGTCAGCGTATTGATTTCCTAATCTGCAGTTACTCTGAGTATGTTACGATAATCCATTTTTCATAATTATTTAACACATAACAATATATATATAGTCCAAGTGACATCCCAGAAGTCCTTTAAGAGGAAATTTGATCTATTCTTAGGAACTAAGAGTCGTATCTTACTATGATTTACCAATTTCTTTTTCCTCTTATATCAATAATATACCTAAGTTCCTGCCTGGAGGTATTGGTGATCCCCTGCTACTAGACACGGAAGCCAGTTAATCGAAAGCTTCTTCTATCCGTCCATTTGAATTGTTCACAATGCATACTAACAATAAAAGTGAAAATGTCGATTATTCACTTGAATATAGACAAAGACAAGTCGATTTGCGAAACAAATTCGTGACAATCAAGAAATATCAGGTTATATAGCAAAAACTGTTGTTGAGACGATTGTACTTGACGTTTGACGACCTTCACGTCGAGGTCATTCGCCATTGTGTAATAAGTCATTGGCATGGGGGTAACTGTTGATACCTACAAGCCTGGGGATGGGAAACGTATTCCTAAGAAAGGTCAAAGAGTCGTTGTACACTACACTGGTACCCTCATGGATGGGAAAAAGTTTGACAGCTCCCGTGATAGAAATAAACCATTCGAATTTGTAATCGGGACGGGGAAAGTAAATACTACTGCTGTTTTTGGATTTCATCCTTATAGGTAATTCGAGGCTGGGATGAAGGTGTAATTCAAATGAGTGTGGGAGAGCGTGCCTACCTAACTTGTACACCAGATTACGCATATGGTTCTAAGGGAGTCGACAAAGTTATCCCTCCAAATGCTACACTTAAATTTGATGTGGAATTACTCGATATTTTATAATTCATTCCTGTTTTTTTTTACTATTCATTGCAGCCACTCAATAAATTACTGTTCACAACCAAAAGTCATGACTCCACTTCATAATTAGAGGGATTACTACTTGGTGCCTTAATTTAAATAATGCTGCACTGTGAAATCAGCGTTACAGTAGTGGGTTAATGTTAATAGTAAGTTATTAGATGGACGTACTTTCGAATGAATATCGAGGGGGGTAGTTGAAGATCATTCTAATCCATGTGTCCGAGGCTCACTATTCAGCAGTTGTGAACAGTCATATAAGTCTAATTTCTTATTATATTCTGCCTAATACAAGCAACATTCTTTGTTCTGTCAAGTTCCGTTTTTGTCTTCAAACCCATCTTGCGTCTCAGCCGGACGCTTCGGAAGGTTAGACTCAGTTCTATCTATATCAGATGATCAGCTGCAACCTCAACCTAATGCGAAGAAATACACGTCAGTCGAAAGGTTGGAGCGTCGTAACCAAGCTTAGGTGCCCTGCCAGGTTCGTGTTCATTTATTCTATCTCATCCTAGGACTAATGTTACGATTCACAGGCAAATCAAATTCGCAGCATAAAAATAACCACGTGCTAGAAGTATCCCTGGCATAGTTGACGTTGTGAACATAATGCTTAGTAGTCATAGGCGATTGCGCGTGAGGAACGGTCGACCCGTGCTTGTCCGTTGATCCCACCTGTATAGTCGCCGGTAGCTGAGCCGACATGGTAGACACAGGGTCTCCCGTTTGAGTGTCTAAGGACAAAAAGAATAACAGCCGGTTGGTTTCGTGGCCAGACCGGCCGATTATGGCGTGCGTACACTGAAAATCGCTTCCCGAGCCATATTAAAAAGCGATTATCGGCAGTAAGCGCTTCGGTTGGTCCTTTTATGTAGTATGGCAGGTCTGTCGTGGTCACTATCGGTATCGCGTCTTTTAAGGTAAGCAACGTGGTCGTTTGCCTGCTAATAACAGCTGTGCGGTGGCGTGCTCTGTTGTGTTGATACTCAGTCCAGTTGTGTCTTCCCAGTGATGTTACAATTTGGTCATGTTTCTTATTGCTGTAAGTGTCAGTCCAAGTACACACAAAAGAATACTGTTATTCAGGCTTTTGTTCAACTCACCAGTCATGGAAAAAAATGAGTACAACAGCTAGATACACTGTTAGAGTTATAACTGAGGTTGTAAACATCGAGTACACGTTATGGAGAAAAGTGTTCTAATGCTTAAAAAACAACCGTCCTTAGCCTACTGACTTAAAAGCCTACATCAATATTCCTAGCTTAGGTATTTTTTCGGCTGCTGAAATTCTAGTTTCAACGCTGTTACACCACGCCATCCAACCGTGAACACATGCATAAATGCGAGTGGGACTTCCATTAGCATGGTAAGTAGATAACTGGAGTCAACATACAGTGAATACACGCCAAATGATTAACAAAACTAGATTCTAACTGTTAAGGTTGAATAATGATACGACCACATAACTACAGCAACAACTACGAAGTATACTTCGCGGATCAATCTTAGCTGATGTTCTTATTTTAGAGCCCATTAAGATATGGAGTGCAAATAACAGATGCGCACTTGATACTAGTTGGACTGAGATGGCCACGGTAGAATCCATCAACTTCTTTGTTAGTAGGTTCCTGATAACGGTAACGGAGCATGCAATAATACAGCATGTATCAGAACCCATACGTTTTGGTGCAAACCAAGGTTCTTTTTTGTTGGCCTTGGTAATGGCTCATGCCACTGGGGATTGTGCCAGCCTACGTCTCCTTCCACCGTTAATGAATAGCTATCACGCTGTTTTGTCATCCATATTTACAACTAATGACATGATATACGGTCAGTTTAAGCGTTACCCAAATGTATGGAGATCTAACATGTCAGCCATTCATTAGTGAGCTGCTGCTAAGACAGATTGATCAATAGATACCAGCTCATCATTTGAAGAAGCATGGTCTATATTTAAAGTGAAATTTAGTTCAGTTACGTCCCCGTTTATACCATGCATGGTACCACGTACACCGAATAACTTAACAAGTCAGGGAACTCCTTAGACGTAGGAAAAACCATTGGAATATGTCCATCTCTACTGCCTTAGAACAGTACAGATCCAGTCATTGTAAGACTAGGAATGCTTGTAAAGCGCTAATAAGACTAGACGGTCGTGTGAAAAACAGTTGATTTTAAAAACATCCCGACACGGTTGTTCTCGTATACGAAAAGGCGGACTCAGAGAAGTGATAGAATTACATCACTTTGGTACAAGAAAACCCGTTAATATTGACAAGAAATGATGCCGAAAAAAACTGAAGATAGATCAGAATATTTCAGCAATGAAGAACGACCAACGATTAATTGTGAATGTTGATGGACCCTGTAGTTATTGAGAAAGGTATCGTATTAAGACTACTTCAGCGTCTCAAATCTGATAAGTCCAAAAAACTACAGAAAGCATGAGAGTTTATATAATACTCGAATGCATTAATTTAGTTTTTGCATGACTAAATGAAGCAGGGAAATACAGTAAACCAGAGAGACCAGTCAAAGACAAAGAAGGAAGACCAATCACTGAGATTCAACAACAGCGCAACAGATGGACAGAGTACTTCGAGGAACTCCTGAACAGGCCGGCTCCAATGAATCCACCGGACATCGAAGCAGCACACACAGATCTTCCTATAAATGTCAATCCACCAACGACAGAAGAAATCAGAATGGCCGTCAGACAAATCAAGAGCGGGAAAGCAGCAGGACCTGACAATATACCAGCTGAAGCGTTGAAGTCAGACATCGAAGTAACTACAAGCATGTTTCATCTTCTATTCAAGAAGATTTGGGAGGAGGAACAAGTGCCGATGGATTGGAAAGAAGGACACTTCATCAAGATTCCAAAGAAAGAAGATCTGAGCAAGTGTGAAAACTACAGAGGCATTACACTACTGTCAATACCAGGTAAAGTCTTCAACAGAGTGTTACTGAACAGATAAAGACAGCCAGCATAGCAGCAGTCTCTGCATCAGTAGGCCTCAACATACACAAAGGGAAAACCAAGGTCCTCAAACACAACACGGAGAACAGCAATCAAATCACTCTTGATGGCGAAACTCTGGAAGATGTGGAATCCTTCACATACCTGGGAAGCATCGTCGATAAACAAGGAGGTTCAGATGCAGACGTCAAGGCGAGGATTGGCAAAGCTAGAGCGGCATTCCTTCAACTGAAGAACATATGGAACTCAAAACAACTTTCAACCAATATCAAAGTCAGAATCTTCAATACCAACGTCAAGGCAGTTCTACTGTACGGAGCTGAAACTTGAAGAACTACAACAACCACCATCAAGAAAGTACAGGTATTTATCAATAGCTGTCTACGCATGATACTCAACATCCATTGGCCGGATACCATCAGCAACAGCCTTTTGTGGGAGAGAACAAACCAGCTTCCAGCTGAAGAGGAAATTAGGAAAAGACGATGGAAATGGATAGGACATACATTGAGGAAATCATCAAACTGCATTACGAGACAAGCGCTAACTTGGAATCCTGAAGGGAAGCGGAAAAGAGGAAGGCCAAAGAACACATTACGTCGGGAAATAGAAGCAGATATGAAAAAGATGAATAAGAACTGGAAAGAGCTTGAAAGGATTGCCCAGGACAGGGTTGGATGGAGAATGCTGGTGAGCGGCTTATGCTCCTTCACGAGGAGTAACAGGCGTAAGTAAGTAATGACTAAATGAGGTTGTAATTAACTATTTCAGGTCTGAGTGATTGTTCATGCAAAATAATCGCGATGGGAAATCGATTTCCAACACGTGGCATTGTAAATAAATCAACATCATTCCCTAATTTTGTTTTTTTCCACTGCACAGAATTAACAAAGTTGCTTTGTCAACAATTCTGATGAATTATTTGAGGTGAATGATTTCACGTACTTATATTAAAAAGATCTCAAATCCAAACCAATGCTATCCATAGAATGGATTCGTATGTTCGTCATTCAAGTTCATGACTGATTAAAAAATGGAGTTATTATTTTCCAATTTGCCACTACGTCTCATGATTATTACGTGCTACAGGATCGTCTTCAATTATTTGGAAGAGAAACGTGTGTACAAAACTCAAGTATCAACAAACAGTCAACCAAAAATTGATCACCACCATTTCTTAAACCTAAATGTGAGAAGTATGTACCTTTGTAAACGTAGGTGGGACGACCAGTTCGCGTCTAAAGAGTAACAAAATTCGCCAACTCAACTTAATATTGGATGGTCTGTTAACTTTCAAAAGGTTATTAGCAGGCATAGAAAATGGATTACATTTCTTATATATTTATTGCAAAAAATATTTTGATTCTGATAAAATTATTAGTCTCTACACTCCAGTTGAGCCATAACCATTTGAACCACGATCCGTTTCCGCCAACGATTCACATTCTATTAATTCAGGACAGAAAATACGTTCACAAATCAGTTGTGCTACACGGTCACCCTTTTTAATCTGAAATGAATATAGTAAAATCATTTGTAAGACTGTGAATACTAGGCGCGATCGTTCTGAGTATGAGAATAAAGAAACACTCATAAATCAAAATGACTGTACGTGTTTTTCGTCGAATAACATTACGAAGGAACAAAATAGTGAATTTTAAACTGATGAAGTTAACCAGTAACGAAAGTAGTTACGTATGTTGCAACATTATGGTAGCCGAAATCACAGCTCATACCAATACCCATTATGTGTAAGGTTAAACTAATTGCCACAATACTTTTATACACTACGTATTTTCCTATTAACGTGAAAAACCAGATTCCCCACAGGTCTTACCTAGTTTTAAATACATGAGATGTTATATAGCACAGCAAATATGTAGATTGTAGTATAGCCATTTCCTTAAAAAAGGTATCCAACTAAGTGAACGTACTAATCACAAAAGGTAAAGACTTTTTAACGACCGTTGAGCTTCAGTCATGTTTTTCGGCTGTCAGTGAA